GATTTTGTTCATCAACAAAGATACCAATACTACACAGAGCGTTTCGAGCTAATTTAAGCATATGACAAGGATCAGGGATATAATATATAGGATGATCATATTCAGGATGGGGAAAACTACCACACATCTCTTTAATTTTACTTCCGAATGAACACCCAAGATTCTTCATTGCACTAAAGTTGGAAATAAGTCCATCACATGTTATACTCCAAACATTCAGATTATGAGTAGCGCATAAATGTAAAGCATTTTTAATTAGACAACTTAAATCTGTTGAGGAAATTTTATCACACAATATATAGCCTATAGGACATTTCCAATGGCCTTTCAATCCAACAACCATAAAAATAAGTGCTTCTGTTGCTAATTTATCTGGGTCATAGGCTAGAATATTGTTTCCAAAACTAGAAAAACCTTCATATGATCCAGTAACATTATCATACCGCATAGCAGCCCTGATATGCATAGAATCAAATATTAATGCGCAATCTTTGTATGATGAATCCTCAAATGTCTTATTTTGTAAAAACTTGAAAACATCTCCAAAAAACCCAGGCAAACAATCTACAGATGAGGTCCAGTTTGAAAGTGAGCTTACGGCAGGTAATGAGAATGTAGATTTAACAAATTCATATGCTCTTGGAGAATAAAAGTGCAGTGTTAAAGCAAATTTTTTAACTTCTTCAGAGTATCTATAACCTTTTTTTTTTTTGCCTCTATTTTTTAATTCAGATTTCAAAAGTTCTTTAGTCAGTCCAGAGAAGTTGTTCTCAAGTAATTCAGCAACATCAATGGAAATAATTTTTTTTTTCTCTAAGTTTTGAATAACTTTGCTAAGGGAAGCAATTTTTTTATCTTTTCGTTTAAGCTTTTGTTTTAATATTTTAATCTTTTTTCTAAGTAATAGTTTTTTTGGAGAATTTTGTTTAAGTATTTTTTCCTTAATAGTATTTGTAATATCAAGCTCTGTTACCTCTTTATTCGAGATAGAACAAATTGTTTTTTTAATGTGTGATGTATCATCATTATATAGCTGATTTCGCTTGTTATTTTTGTTCAATGATTCATGAAAGTCAAATATTGAAGGCACAATATTTTTTTTCAGCACACGTTTCCCATTCTCTTGACACTCAAAATCTTCTAATTTAAAATGTTTACTGCAGATTCTACTATGTTTACTAGGTGTAATTTGTAAACATTTAGTTGCTGTTGCCCATTTTTTACATAAAATTTCATCATTTAAAGGGATTCTGTGAAAAGAAATTAAACTACTTTTATCAAATCTGCTTTTACAGTTGTAAACTGAACAATTAATAACCATGTTTATTATTTGTTACTCTAAAAAAATAAAAAGTATTGTTTTCAAAAATATATCTTTTATGTTTTATAAATACATACACACACACTCAAACACATTATCCCAGACTTTATCATATATAATATCATTTGAATATATATATATGTATATATGTATATATATATATATATATATATATATATATATATATATATATATATACATATATATATATATATATATATATATATATATATATATAATATATATATATATATATATATATATATATATATATATATATATATATATATATATATATATATATATATATATATATATATATATATATATATATATATATTATATATATATATATATATATATATATATATATATATATATATATATATATATATATATATATATATATATATATATATATACATTATATTATATATGATATAACCTGGAGCAAGTCTAAATAAATGTCTCAGTTTAAAAATGTAAATATTCAAAATATATATACTTAAAATTAATTAAGTTAAAATAGTATGTAAACTTATCCTATATATTTCTTTATAATAAAATACAATATTTCTAAGGGTTATATATACCCTCGTTATTCAAGTAATATTACTTGAATAACGAGGGTATATATAACCCTTAGAAATATTGTATTTTATTATAAAGAAATATATAGGATAAGTTTACATACTATAACAGATATTTTAACTTAATTAACTATATAAAAACTTATCTAAGATGTTAACTTTTAAAAATTATATACTTAAAATATTTTCCGAAGGTTCAAAGTCTTTTTACTTTAAACTAAAATTACTAGCTTAGCAGTTATTTTTTATAATAGAAAGTTAAAAGTAACTGACGTTACTTTTAACCTACACTTATAAAATTATCCAATACTAAAGCATCTCACAATATCATTCCAAACTGACTAACTTTTAAACCCATTTTCTGATTTAACTGACACAAATATTTTTTGTTTGGATTTTGTTTTTGCTCTTTGTCTTTCCGTAATATTTGTTAACCAATCAGATGCTGGTTGGCAAAACAATTTATTAGCCAATCATATGCTGGTTGGCAAAAAAAATGTGCTTCACTTTTTTTCGGAAGTTAGACATCTAGTTAATATATATCATTGACCATGACATTCATTTAAAATACCACGACAATCAATTAAAACAATGTGATTTTCGATTAAAATAATCGTGATTTTCAATTAAAACATGAAACGCATGCGCAATCTCAACATTCTATATTATTTAAAAAAAAGGTTTTCTTTATATTTTTTATTCAATTTTTTAAAAATTTTAAAATTTTATTTTATTTAAAATATAATGTTTATTTTCCAATTACTGTCGAGGTATATCATCTGACCTAAGATACGCTTCGAAAAATCTTTCGCAGCGTGAGTAATAGTTTGATAAGTTAACATTAGGCATGCCTCACGCATTCTTGCAATTAGTTCATTTCTTACAGCTGGGGCCGTATTTCTTCGCACGTTATTCTTAAGATAAAAAAAAATCTCTTCACACGGATTCAAGAATGGTGAATATGGTGGCAAATATTTTATTTGAATGTTCTGAGCCCTCATCTCAACATTATGATGGATTCTGACATTATCCATCACCAGGGTGAATTCTTCCTCTGTCCCCAAAACTCGTACAACTTCATCAATATATTCTTGAAACAAAACTGTGTTGACTGACACACTGACAGCTTCGCAGTGAATAATATTTAAACCATTGATGGCCAATATCATCGAAACGTTACGTTGCCTAGGGTGAATGATCGGGTTTGGTGTTACTTCTCTTCTTGCCCATGAATGACTGCGAAACATGCCAATAAAAACAATATTTCGATAGCGATTAATTGGCGAGATTAAAGTATACTACCTAACATTTTCAATACGAAGATTTTTTACATCATTGTCGTTTCTTCTTTCAAAAATTAGTCGAGTAATTTTATATGTGTATCCAAGATTGGTCACCCATCTCCAGACAGTTTTAAGTGATACATTTACATTTAAAGCATATTTAATTTCAATTATAATTGTCGTTGTGTTATCGTCTATAAGCTCTTTAAGTCTTCTTCTAATCTCTTCATTATAAATAACTTGACGAGCGCCACCTCTAGAACCAGGAAGTGTTGAATTCGTTCGATCGTACCTTCTTAAAATTGATTGTATTGTGTTTCGATTAACTCCTGTTAACGATGAAGCTTCAGATTAAGTTTTTTCTTGATCAACGACTAGATTTACAACAAGATCTCGCATGTTTTGGGAAACGGAATTTTGCGGCATAAAGATTCAGATTGAAGTTTCAGATTGAATTTTTCTTTGATCAACGACCAATCTCAAAACAAATTTTCGCTTATTTTAGCAAACAGAATTTCGCTGCATGTTTTAATGAAAATCTAATATCCTCATGCGCTAAATATTTTAATATGATATCATGGTTGTTTTAATTATAATCATGCATATTTTAATTGAACATCATGGTTGTTATTTAAATACAGTATGTGTATAAAAAATATGTAAAAAAAATATGGTTTTGCATCCATTTAAAACAAACGTGACATCCATTCAAATTTAAAATAAATTCCATTAAATTAAAATAAATTAATATAATATTAATAAAAATAAATTTATATAATATTAGATTAATAAATATATAAAGAAGACCTTTTTTTTAAAATAATATAGAATGTTGAGATTGCACATGCGTTAAATGTTTAACGATTGTTTTAATTTAAAATCACATTGTTTTAATTGATTGTCGCGGTGTTTAAAATGAATGTCGTGGTTGTTTTAAATGGTTGTCATGATTGTTTTAAATGGATGTAAAAACCGGTATTTTAACTTGTTGATCAAGGAAACAATGAATTTATCAGTAGATAGGGTGAATCACTGCAAGACAAAGGATATTGTCATTCTTACTTTGTTACAATACAAAATTTAATCATAAAACAAAACTGTGTTTTATTTGCATTATTATTTTATATACATACATGTATGTATAAAAACTATGAAGCAAAAATTATGGAAAAAGCATTTTTAGATTAGTAGTTTGGATTCATAGATGTTTGCATGTTTGTGTCAAACTGTTAACATTTGTGATATCCGACAAATTAGACCAGCTACTCATACAAGTATAAAGTCTGAGTTTATATGCACCGGTATTTCACAATGGGAAAAAAGACGTCGAAAAGACGTCTTCAAAAGTCTTATTTACGATGTCTTTAAGACGTCTTTTTTTAATCGATTATGCAAATCTAAAAGACATCTTTTTTCGACATCAAAAAGACGTCTTTTTTTATCTTAATCTTGTCATGAAAAGTTATTAAAAATGCGTTTTTAAGACGCCTTTTTTTAGTCGAATATGCAAATCTAAAAAAGTGTTTTTTCTCGGGGTCGGAACGACTTTTTTGCCATCTTATTAGTATACTATAGTACCCTTTATTCTATAGTATTCCTACTTTTCTTATATGAAAAGCTATTTTTTTCAAATGAAAATGATAATAGCTCTTTATACAAAGTATGACAAATAGCTTTTTCTGATGCCGAGAATAAAACCTCTTTTAGATGTCAATATAAAAGAGGAAGCATTTTCTACATCTTTTATATATATTTAAATATAAGAGAATAATTTATATATGAAACAATAGTATTGTTCAACAGAATATTTTTTCATCTTTCTCTTTCTTTTCTGTTTCTTGAGTGAGCTCTGTTTCTTGGCGTTGTTGAATAAAATTAACAATTTCACCTCGAGAAATCTTTTCATATGAGTAGGTTACGACTTCTAGCTGGTACTACTTCTAAAAAACGAGTGAACATAAAAAACAGTCTATTGCTTAAATGTAATACAAAAAAAGCAAACGAAACTTGATTAGCTGAGTGGAACACATTATACTTACCGACTATTAATTCAAAAAGGGTTTATCCTTTTAATCCACTCATGTTTCCAGCGCGGTGCCTACTTTTTGAATCCACTAGGTTAGGTTGGGACAGGAGTTAAACGTTAAACAGTCTAAAAATATATATAAATGAGTGTGCTAAATAAATTTACAACCATCAAAATGACTGTACAACGATGTATTTTATTATGTAGTTTTTATTAATCAAGCTAAACATTTGCACCTCTAAGATTGGCTATGAAAGCCAAGTTATTGAAAACAGATATTGATATTTTTCTTTCTTCTATAACATAATTTTTAATTTAATTTCGCTGAAATAAAGTGTTGTAGACTCATAACAATTTAAAAATCCGTTATTGACTAAAGACAAAGCAAAAAGATAATTCAGCTAATACACCTTAAGAGTTGTTATTCATTTAAACTAGCAAAAAGTATTAGTCAAAGCTCTATTTTAGTCTGAAGCATAAGGATGCTTTACTTAACAACATAAAATCATAAAAACTGGCGATATCATTAGCAACACAGATGAAATACACTTAAACAAAAATGAAGACTAGAAAGTTGCAATGATGTTTAGATATAAGTAAGTGTACCTTTCCAGTATCATTTTCACTTGGTTTTTTGTATCCAAACCAAAAATTTTGCGAACATTTCTAAAGATAAATCTAATGTCATTATGTGTATTTTTATAATTGCTTTGTTAATGACAGACAACAGTTAACAAGGAAATAACATATTTAACATAAAAGTTGAAGAAACAATCTTTTGTATAAAAAATTTCATCATTTAACTAAATAAAAACAACAAAATTGTTCAGTTCGTTTAAAAAAAAATAAAAAAAAATTGCAAGTCTACTAAATGCTTATTTTTTTCTATCGTTCTTTTCACTAGCACTTGAACAACTAAATATAAAGAGAAATTGTTCACAGGTTTTATTTTTCGTCTGAAAATAAATATTTTAATTTCATATGTAATAAACAACGTTCTTCAAGCACAATACATTAAAAAATTAGTCTAAAAGTAAATGGTCAAACTTTTTTAAAACACTTACCTGCGACTAACTAAATTGAGACTAGATCATATCGATACCATCTTACTGGCACCACACCATCCACTTTTGCTTCTTCCGATTAACATTTTTTAGCTAAGCAGCTGCATTTGTATATTTATTTCAGTATATATATATATATATATATATATATATATATATATATATATATATATATATATATATATATATATATATATATATATATACTATAATATATATATATATATATATATATATATATATATATATATATATATATATATATATATATATATATATATATATATATATATATATATATATATATATATATATATATATATATATATATATATATATATATATATATATATATATATATATATATATATATATATATATATATATATATATATACTATAATATATATATGCATTTATATTATGTATATTTTACATAATATATTACTTTATAATATAAATTATTAAATAAACCCGCTTACCGAAAAAAATTAATTTTTAATTAATTTCCTATGCAAAAACGTTTCACATAAAAGTTATATAAAAGTATTTTGTAAACAAAAAACGGGCTAATCAGAACGTAACAAAGATATCGTAATTACAATACTGTGGGTTAAAACCCATTTTTTGTTAGGTTCTATTGGCGATAATTATTTTTTATTTTCATAAGCAAATAATGATTTCCTTATTAACAACCGATTGACGTCTTTTCGACCTCTTTTTTGAAGACGTCTTTTTAAAAGACGTCTTTCCACGTCTTTATTTTGGCTGATTATAAAAAGACATAACAAGTCATAAAAAAGATGCCATTTATTCGTCTAAAGATGTCTTTTTTCCCACTAGGTTAGCCCTTTGATAAAATGATATTGACGAACAAACATGGATTATTTAGATTATTTATTATCAGGTTGACTGGAAACTAAATTTAAATAGCCCTGAAAAAGCTCATAACAGTGTTAATCGATGTGTTTCATTTTCGCTGATTGTATTGCTTTCAATTCCACCTAATTATAATGATAATGATGATCTAATACCAGCAACTTGAACTGCCTATAGGACTCATATTGAAACACTACCAACTTCTTTGACTCATAATAATAGTCATAAATATTAGCATTGCCTAAACTCTTTCAAATGTCCAGAAACATCTTGAGGCAATGACACAGAAAGAAAAGTAAAGGACTGTGGATGTGGAAAATAATTAGTTTCTAGCAATAAAGCAAAAGTTTTGAAAAAACTTTGTTTAGTCCACACTCTGCGTGTCCTGTAGGATGCGAATATATTGTTCTATTTCTGCAACACGAAAACTCTTAATTGGGTAAATCTAAAACAAAAAATTAAATAACTTTATTTTAAAAACTTCAAGATTATGACATCACATATAAAAAAAAAATCAATTAACTTGTTGCTTCTGCAGTTGTTATTGCAACTGAACTGTCTATATAATAGAAAAATTAAATAAAGTTTATTAACATTAAGCAAATTAAACAAACAAAAGACTTTCATGATTTTTAAAATAAAAACCATATAAAAATAAGCTAAGTAAATAAGCTAAAATAATTAAGCTAATATTAAAATAATTAAGCTAATATTATATAATTAAGCTAATATTAAAATAATTAAGCTAATATTATATAATTAAGCTAATATTAAATAATTAAGCTAATATAAAAATTAAATAAAGTAAGCTAAAATAAGCTAAATTAATTAAGCTAATTAATGAATATATTTTCATTCAGGAAACATGTTCCAACAGCGTTAACCTTTACACTAAAAAGTAAATAAATTTGTTCTCATCGTAATATAGATGTATATAGTGTCTTATTTCATTTTAAAAATACAGTTCAGTTAAACATGAATTATGTAAATATCATAAACTATAAATGCAAAACCTTACAGACTTGTTTCACTAAAAAAGTATGTACAAAAAGAAATTATAAAGTATAAATCTAAAATAGATTTTGAACCTTGAAGAAATACTTTCATACAAAAAAGAAATATATAAGATAGTTAAAAGAAACTCACTGGTTTGCTGAAATCGTAACTGCTAAAATGATAGTTTAAAGAAACTCCCTAGATTGCAGCAAATTGCTAAAATAATCCAACTAAAATTGCTTATTTATATAATGAATGTATTTCATTTACTTTAAATCTATTTAAATGTCACATTAAAACTAAAGATTTACTTCGAAATTAATTTAAGCCTATGATTTTCGGTTAGTGTGGCTGCTCTAAAAATATGAATATAGATTAAAACATTCCTATTCAATCATTAACATCTTGCATAAAAAAATTGGTTTGAAAAAACGTTATTAAGTTATTTAAAGAATGTTAAACCTTTAAAATACCTGTGTTTCCTTGCATAGCGATGTTAAAACTCACCAATATTCTAAATGAGGTCGTCTTAAACTTCTTAGATTGGTTTTCAGCCAATTTTAAAAGCAATCATTTATAAAATAAGATTAAATAGAATATATAGGATTAAAACAATTTTTACCTGACATCATAAATAAATATTCTTTAATGATTCTAAAAAATGATCAAAAAACAATATAACATTAATCTATTATTTATAAATTATAAATAGACAGAATTAAAAATACGATTATGTAATTAGATTCTTTATACTTTCAAATAATAGATTTATACAGATTTTGATGATAAAAAGTTATAACGAATCTTAATATGAGCATTAAAACAATCAAAAAAGCACGTTGATCTCGTAAAATCTTAAACGTGTTTTAATTGTCTCGCATTGTTTTATATAAAATATAAAAGTTTATTTCTAATTTTAGCAGTTCTGTTATTCCTGTGGATTCAGCCAGTTAACTTACGTCAAATTTTTTTTACTCAAAGAGGTACAGAAAGTACAGGGAGTGGGCATAAGAAGGTGGCAACCCTAAAATTTATTGATTACTATCTGAATATTTTATAATGAAATTTTAATTAAAATCTCAATGATAACATTCTTTTGAATCTTATTTAGAATTCCTCTCTCTCACTCTCTCTTGTATACTCTCTCACTCTCTCTCACTTTCTCACTCTCTCTCTCACTTTCTCTCACACTCTCTCTCTTTCACTCTCTCTATTTCACTCTCTCTCACTCTTTCACTCTCTCTTTCTTTACTTCGTAGTTTTTATGGTTAGATATACAACAAGTTTGTAATTTAAATTGCCTAAATTATTGCCAATGTAATGTTTTTTTGAAAAGTTAAAAACATTCCTTTAATACAACATCCACCCTCCCTCCTATCTTATTCCTTAAAAAAGTTAACTAACAGATAAGGAAGCCATTTTATGGAGTGCACCATACTTTGAAAACAATTCTATTAAAATAGTTACAGACGCAGCTGAGGATTCCATTAACGTTCATTTCATTAAAAAAATCCTTATTATACAGAGTGCAGTGTTGCATTCGAAGGCAAGAGTTAAAAAAATAATAAAAAAACATACAACAACATAACAACTTTATTAAATAATTTTTATTGAACTTAATGAGCATAACTTATATAATTATATTTTTAAAAATTAATTAAATTAGATGATGCGCATAAAAAAAGTTACATTAAACTGTCAATGATAAAAACAACATACGAGCACGAAATAGCAATAACAGAATTTTGTAATGTTACCAGTAAATTTTTTTTTTTTACCTTTTGTTGTTTAGAATTTTAGTTTATCCCTAAATGTTGACTAACATAAGTAAGTAATAAAGTAAACTTTAAATTATGAAAATTTGCATAATTAAACTGTGTCAACAGTTGCAATTTTGTGTAATCCTTGTAAACCTCAAAATATAATTTATTAAACAATTTTGTTCTTGAACTAAAAGTTGACTAAATGCAAAGCAAGAAAAAGCCAATGAAACTTGAATTTTATTTATGATATTTTGATAAATCTAATTATAACTGAGGAAAAAACCCTTAAAAATAAATAAATAGAAATAGAAAAGATAAAAGCATGTGTGTAGCAAGGGCGGATCCATAGGGGGGCGATGGGGGCCATCGCCCCCCTCCCCTCCTACTTAAAAACTTTTGAAATTTTTTATTTTTGTAAGTTTATTTATTAAACGCAGCAAGTTATTTGAAAACGGAAATAATATAGTTAAGTTGTCTAAAGAAAATTGTAATTTTAATAAAACTTAGTAGTGCAAATTAAAAATTGTGTAATTGCTTGCTTACAAATCTGAAATTCGCCCTCTTACTAAATTGTCTGCATCCACCAAATTGATAAATATTCAAAATCGCCCCCCCCCCCCCATCCTTACAACATGGTCTGGATCCGTCCTTGGTGTGTAGTACCATTAATCGCGTCTCTTTGCACACCCCAGGTACCGAATTCTCATCTTTCCGTTAAGCTTAACGGAGTGTTAGTCAAAAAAAAATTTTTAACTTTATAATAAAAAAATTTTTTTTAATATAATTTTTTAAACATAAATGTTTTCTTTTAGTATTAGTTTTATTCAAACAAATTTAAATAAAGTTTTCGTTATATCTTTATTACAAATATTGCAATGAAATTTCAGACAAAGGCTCCGTTAATCTTACACTGCATCTTACACAGAGGGTTAGGTTGAAGATGAAGGTACCTGGAATTTTTTTTGGCAGAAATATTTTTGAAAGACACACTTAAACAATCTTAGCCAAAATTAAAAATGTATCTGCTCCTAAATTTAAATTTCATGTTTTTTTGTTTTGTTTTTTATTGGTTACTAATTATGTACCAAAACTTTGTTTTCTTTGGCACTAGAGATAGCCTAATAGATTTCAAAATATAACAAGAATACATTTATTTTTAGAATTATATATATTTACATATATATGAACATGTGAAAATATGTTATATATATTTACATATATGTGAATATATATATTTAAAGTTTAAAAAATGTGTGTAAAGTATTTTATGTACTTTAGCAGGAAAAAATTAAAATTGAAAAATAGTAAATGATTCGAAAAAGAAATCATTAGGAGTGCAAAGATATAAACTGTTTTGGATGTTGCAACAAGAACAAACACTGTCCCTACAAAATCCAGCTCAAATTGCTTTGAAAAATTTAGTAAGAAAGCATATAGATAAAGGTTTTGTTAAAGTGAACTCCTTTCCTACTAGAATGTGTTTTTTTTATCTTTAGTTTTAGTTTCTTAAATACAAGATACAAAATTGTTTTTACAGAAAAGAAAAAATGTTAAAAGTAAAGATATCTCCTGGCATATAGGAAGAGTTACTATTTTAACGCTTGGAAGAATCCAAGTGGTATCTGAATCATGTCAATATCCAATCTGTAGTCTGGCTGAGGGACACTAGTAACATAGAGATGAAATTAAGGGAGTACATTGAGCCCATCTAACTACAGAAAAAAAAAAGCAATACAAATTCAAGTTTTTATACTAATGCCTTAATGTGTCGAGATATATAGGAAGAATGTGTTCTTAATATAAAGGAAGAGCTATTTAACACCCCTGCAATAGAAAATCAACTGCTAAAAACTTAGAAAAATTTATTTTGTCAAAAGATCATAAATTGTCTGAACAGGTAATATTAAAAATTCTAAAAACAGTTATTGGGGATGAAAAACAACGTAAAGTTAAACTATCAACATGAACATCATTAAATGTACACCTTAGAGAGAGTATCTCTCCAAAATAGATTAGTTTATCTGCCTGAATGTGTTAATAAAAATACGTTGATTGAAATAAGAAAAGATGTTGGTCAATTAGGATTTTAAAACAATTTGGAGATTTGTGTGAATTCATTAAATCAGTTCATAGCGTTCAGCAGTTGACATTTCAGCAAGGTGCGAACCATATAGAGATTCAAAAAGATGTAGTAGATGTGAAAGATATACCTATGCTTGTTGATAAAATATACAAATAAAGAGATATTGTTCTCTAGGAAACAATTGTGAGGGTTGTTATTGACGGCGGCCAAGGGTCAATTGAGGTTGCTATGAGTCTTTAACAATCAGAAATATTTGAGGATCCATTAATGAAGCAAAAGGACTCGAGTGTAAACATAGTTATTTCGTGAGCAATTGTCCAACATGTTGAAGAAAGCAGCTACAATTTAACCTAAATTGTCCACTTTCTCATACCGCATGAGTGGAAGTACTTCCTTGCATCAAATCTTAAGCTTACCAATGTCATGCAAGAGTTATCTGAAAAATGGTAGGAAATATGCATGAGCTTTATTGTATTGGTGCAAAGGACAAATTAAAAGAATTTAGAACCTTTGGTAGTTTATCCTATTAGTTACACAAATTACACAATTTGATCTAGAATTTTTTCAATGCCATCAATTCATGTCTTTTTGATGAGAGCACGGATATCCTGGTGTTGAATGTTATACCTCCACCAGAGCTGCATCTCTATGAGCATATTATCACACAGGTGTCAAGAGTATTTATTTTCAAATAAGACCTTAACTAAGTTCTTAGAAGGAAAAACTGTTACTCAGCGTGGCTACAATGGTAGAGGACTAGATGACCTACTTGTCAAAAAGTTCTAAGGTCATTAGATAACGTAAAAACTGTAGCGCCACTGAAGCAACACGAGTGTATTAACACTCTAAGAAAATTTAAAGCAGTTAAATATTTTAAACAAATTATTACTAACATACTTAAAGATCTTGATAAGTCGTATAATTTTATTTGTAGTGACTGAAAGTTGTTTTGGAATGACATTAAGGGCCGACGACACGTGGGTTTCGGTTACAACATTAGATCCGTCTTATGGTTATAAAATTAGAGCTTTCATCAACTCCATGCACTACAAATATGTTTAAGAAACATCAGTATGTCATTCGGATGCAATTACCATATCACTAAACATCACATGAATGATTATTTGGACCACCATCAGATGTCTCTTGGTCTTACATCAGAACAAATCTTAGAAGCTGTTTACAAAAACATTAATATGACTATCAAGAGGTTTAGTGTCGGAAAGTAATCCTTCTCATAGAATAAAACTGAAAAAGAAGAATGGCTGAAACATGCAGCTCAATGAGAGTATAAAGGTTATGATTTGAAAAACAATTGGTTAAGATAAAAAACTTGTACATATCTAAACCACTATAATTTCCTCATAAATATCCTTTTAATCTCTTTTTTTTTCCTATTTTTTTTTTAATTTATGTTGAGAAAATATATATATATATATATATATATATATATATATATATATATATATATATATATATATATATATATATATATATATATATGTACAGATACAGATATATATATATATATATATATATATATATATATATATATATATATATATATATATATATATATATATATATATATATATATATATATATATATATATATATATATATATAGATATAGATATAGATATAGATATAGATATAGATATATAGATATAGATATAGATATAAAACAATAATTCATGGTGCTCCTTTTTTTAGATATTTTAAATATCTTCCAATAAGTTTTTCGTCTGAGAGTGCTATTGAAATCAGGAACAAGAAAAGCAAAACTGCATAAGTTAGTCATGCAGGTCTATTTTTCTTGACAGAAAACATCAGGGAGATAGCTAATTATTTGTTTTTAAAATTTGATATGTACCTCTACTGAGTGTATTTTTGAATGTTATGTTACTGTTAATACTTTTTACTATTTTTGTTAATTTTTTTTTAGTAAAGAAATCTCAATATAGTTTATAATAACAATCTAAAGTTTCGTTATTTTTTGATTTAAAAAATTTTTTTTTGAAATAATTTAATATATTTTAACTAGTAATTAACTAATCTAGAAAGATCTATATCATGAACTAAAATGTCATACTGATAAGCTGTTCTGCGTTGAATTTAAAAAGCAAGAGGAATTTTCATAGCCACATGTTATTAAAAACATCAATTAGAACGTTGAAAAAATTTGAAAGAAACTAAAGATTGTTGATTATTAAATCGTGATAATGTAAAATTTTCTAAAGTTTTTTGTTTGAACTAAATTTTGTAAAATTGTTTGTAAAATTGTTTGTAAAATTGTTTGTAAAATTGTTTGTAAAATTGTTTGTAAAATTGTTTGTAAAATTGTTTGTAAAATTGTTTGTAAAATTGTTTGTAAAATTGTTTGTAAAATTGTTTGTAAAATTGTTTGTAAAATTGTTTGTAAAATTGTTTGTAAAATTGTTTGTAAAATTGTTTGTAAAACTGTTTGTTAAATTGTTTGTAAAATTGTTTGTAAAACTGTTTGTAAAACTGTTTGTAAAATTGTTTGTAAAACTGTTTGTAAAATTGTTTGTAAAATTGTTTGTAAAATTGTTTGTAAAATTATTTGTAAAATTGTTTGTAAAAATGTTTGTAAAATTGTTTGGAAAATTGTTTATAAAATTGTTTTTTATATTGTTTGTAGAACTGTTTGAAAAATTGTTTGTGGAATTGTAAATTGTTTGCGAAATTCTATAAAATATGGGCGCCTACCGGTTTTTGAAAAAATATCCGGGCTTAAGTAATTTCAGGATTAGTCAGGAATTAGTCCGGATGAACCGAAATGAATAAAGTAAACTGATTTTTTATAAAATCCGTATATTTCTCTTTTAATTATATTTTAATTGATGTCTTGTGAAAAAATCCGCTCAATATATTAAATGCTTCTTTATTTATAGGCCTATTTCCTCATATTGTATTAGAGCGACTCATAGTGCATCTTTTCATTTTCACCCATTACAAAATATCGAGGACTTACCTATTTCAAATACTTTCCGTTTACCCAATATAAACTTTGTTGGGTCAATAGACTTTTGCAAAATTTTTCAACAAAGTTTGAAGAAATTTTAATCCAAAAACGATTATGAACAAGCACTAAAAAATAGCGGATACAAAAACTGCTCAACTAAGTATCAAATCAAAACACACCCCAAAAAATTGTAAACGCAATATCATTTCGTTTAACCCCCCATTTAACAAAAATATCTCCTCAGATGTTGCTAAAATGTTTTTAAAATTACTAGAAAAAAGTTTCCCTAAACCCCACAAGCCTAATAAAATCTTTAACAGAAACAGTGTAAAGGTCTACGGCTCCACTAAATATTTTAAAAAAATTATTAAAAACTACAACAAAAAAATTATCTTCCCAAGAATTAAAAATAATTATTCAAAATGCAATGGTCGAAATAAAACAGCATTCCTCTGAATGGAAAAGCAAATTTACAAACATTCTATACGAATGCATCGTCACAGCTAAAAACAAACCCAACAAAGTTTAACGTTGTTAAAACCAACCCAACAAAGTTTATATTGGGTTAACGGAAGGTGAATGGAAAACCAGATATAGCAATCGCAAATCATAATTCAATATTTTTACATACAAATTATTAAACTACGTAGGGGATTTGAATAATAATTTTAGTGAAACCCCTATATTCACATGGTCTATTCAGAAGCCTATATCCCCCTTTTCAAATATTTCCAAAAGGTACCCTCTATGTCTATTTGAGAAATTTGCAATTATATCGTATCCAAAACCTGAGAACTGTTAAATAAAAGGAACGAAACTATATCAAAGTACCGTCACAAAAATAAGTATTATTTAAAAAGTTACAAGG